AGACAGATGTTCAGCTGCAGTCAGACAGATGTCGTACCAAAACCTGAGACGTGCTGTCACCTCGCTGACTTGCCAAATTACATTTCATCACTGCCAATCGGAGGCGATTAAACCCGAAGTCTACTGCTGAGTCATTTATTTCTGATTCCATTAACACTGCAGACAGAGACCAGATGTTTTTTTGACCACTGGAAAAGAGGATTAAGTGAAGCGCTGTTTTCTGGCTTCATTCACCCCGATGGTGCCACTCATCCTATCATACATCAACACCACAAAACGCTCCAACAGGGACTTGGACAGTTCACTCACATCACCTGGCAACTGCATGAGCTCACTGAAGGCATCGGTCACTTCAGGGAAAGCCTTCCTACTCCTCCAGCAAATGCTGACACTGTCTCACAGCTGAATCTAAACAACTCTGTCAACAACCAACACGCAGGAAGTCTTTGCACTGCTTTGATTCCCTCTGCCTACTGTCAGGGACGCAGAAAGCCCAGATGATATTTAGAGAGCTTGTCTTCTCAAGCTGAGATTTTGCTTAAAGACAAAGACACTGTCTGCATAGTCCTGGGAGGTATTTTGCTGTACCAGGATTCAGTATCATAGCTATACATCAAGGAACATAGCGTCAACCACAGGAGCAGGCTGGGAGTCAGTGTCGGTCTTTATGCACGTCTGTTGTACCAAGTCAGGGACACAGCCTGGAAGTAAAATGCACCGAAATCAAACTTTTAGTCTAATGCTAAATGCACAGTCCAATGCTAAGTGCTGGAATCAAATGATGTAAACTGAACGTTCCACAGAAACATGTTCCAGTGGATAATGTGAGAAATAACCAGAATATTTCATGTGGTGAAAAGACAGAAATACTAACGTTACATTGATAACATCCAACAAATATTTTTGTTTAACCTTGAAACAGATACCAACTCTCACCGTTTTTTTGGTTACTGATCAGAGGGTAGTGAAATAAAACATATTGTTTATTATATCAGATACCGCAGTCATGTTTGCACACACACACACACACACTGGAAAAACGTGGACACTTTTGCCCAAGGGCATGTGCGGGGTGCACGCTAGCATCGCTTCTTCCGATAGAGGACATTTCGTTTTAAAAGCATGGTGTAAATGACCATGTTGTGGATGAAACCACCGGAGCAGTATGGAGACATGTTATTGTAATAAACCTTGTCTCGGATGTGAGAACGTAGCGAGCCCACACACAGAATGATTCTTCTGCGTACACAGTGAAAGGAGGAGGAAACCTGGTGTAATAGTAATGATAATCTTTAATATTTAGTTCAGGGTTAGCACACAGGGTTAATTGATAACAGTCTGAGTCCTTCACTCCCCCCAAGTGTCCCCCTGCATGGGCAGACAACTTGTGTAATGGCACCGCCAATCTAACTCACACCACAAAATGGTTACACACTCTTAGGACACTGCTACTTAATACAGAAACTACACCCCCTCAGGGAACAACAATATTGCACCACTGTCCATTAATTTCCCACTACAGACTCACACGTGCTGTCAGTGCACATACAGATGCACCTGAGGAGCTAATCAAGCTCCTTTAGCTGAGCTTACTGCTCCTCTTCACCTGCTCGACCCTGCCCCGCCCACAGGTGCAATCACTGCTCTCCTCCCCCTCCCAACACACACTCACTACACTTTGTTTTCTTTTTTTTCTTATATCTGAAGAAGAGCTCACCTCTTTACCCCTCAACTGTTTTGTGGACTCAAACATTTTACCCGCCCCCCATCTTCATAGTGGTGAGTAAATGATGAGGGAGTTTTCATTTTTTGGTGAACTTTCCCTTTAAGTTATTGAGTTAATTGTTTTTTTTTTTTATTTTGAAACAGTCGTCTGACTTGCCGGATATAATCTTCGCTTGTCAATCAATCAATCAAATGTATTGATATAGCACGGTATCACAACACTTGTCTCAGGGTGCTGCACAAAAGTCCAAGATCTTAAAACACAAAATCCAACTTGTTCCACTCCGAGCAAGCATGAGCAACAGCTGGGAGGAAAAACTCCCAGGTGGAAGAAACCTCCGGCAGACTCGGGCTCGGTGTGGACGGCCTCTGCCAGGACCGGTTGGAGTGATGGAGAAAGAGCTTGTCTCGTGCTCCTTCTCCTCTGCTTCCGGTCTGTAACTCAATCATTTTGGGCGTCATTTATTTTGAAGTGTCAGAGCGGAAGTGTGTGCGTGGTGCATTGTGGTATTGGAACAGTTGGAGGTTCAGTCTCGTGCAGCAGTTGTAGAGCATCAGAGCAGCAGAGGAGCGACACGAGGTAAGACACCGTCCTCCCGGATTGTCCTGGTCTGAGTCTGTCTCACTTTGTCTCAGTCTGTCTCACTTTGTCTCAGTTTGTCTCACCTGGTCTC